CTGCTCATTTTCCTTTACAACCCATAACCAAATGAGCAAGAAATGTGATGTTTGTAATATATCAAGACTATGACTTCCATTGTTACTCCTCTGGTCTGAGCCTGGACCAGGCTGACATCTTGTCCAAGCTACAACAACCTCTTCTTTGCTCTCCCGGTTCCTCCATACTCTCCTACAATCTACTCTCAATAAGTCAGTCAGAATGATCTCTTTAAAATAAAGTCAGATCATTCTGAATCTCAATGCCTCGCTCTCTCTACTCTTTCTAGATTTACCATACCCCTAGTTGTTCCTTAAATACACAAGGCAGAATCTCATCTTAATGCCTTTGTGCTTGCTCTTTGTCATGTTCTTTCCTCAGATACTCATTTCGTTTCCTTCAGGGCTTTGTCCAAAAGAAGACAATACTGGCTAACTTATTTAAAATTACCTTCACCCTCCACACCAGCACACCCAAGCCTCCATACTCTGTTTATTTCTCATCTTCTTATACCCTCTAAATTTAGTTGTTTATTGTGTTTATTGTCTACAATGTGTCTCCACACACTAGCATATAAGTTCCAGAAGGGCAAGGATTTTTTAACTGTTTTTTTTTTTTCACTGATGTATCTCAGGGGCCTAGAGCAGTAATCTAATCAGTACAGAGTAGTAAGGACTCAATAAACATTTGTTAAGTGAATAATAAATTAGATAGAAATGTATAAGCATGAAGGAAGAGCATTCTGGAATATAATCCCCTTTTAAAATCCTAAACACACTGACAGTGATAGCAGTCATTTTTATACATATCTAATTAGGAAAAAAATCAGTCTGTATGTTCAACAAATCACCAAATAAACCCTAAATTTATGGAAAAGGCTCTTGAATGAATTCAATATTATCTCAGGTAAAGTCTACTAGGCAGACTGTGTAAAAGTTAAATACTTATGAAAATCAGGAATAAAATTCTCAAGGAGTCAAGAACTGTACCACAGCCATCTACAGAGATTGTAATTTTCTATACAATAAAATTGGGGTAAGTGAAAAAAGTGAGTTAACTTATGCAGAAACGAAAATTAATTCTGTATTCATCTCACATGAGCTATGCAAATTATAGTCAAAGTACTGGAGAAATACAAAGCTAAACAACTCTAGGGTATCCGTAAGCCAATCAATTTGCTGTGGATTCTCTGGGTCTCTTGTTCCTCTTCTCAGGTTTACTGCCTAATATTTGACCACTTTACGGTTTGTTGGCAACTCTCATAAGAAAGTGAACTAGAGAAGCAAAATGAAACATAAGCAAATTAAAGCTACTCCTGATAGCAGCCAGGAGGAATACGCTGGGATCTTTGTCTGGACAGTGAGAAAACGTGTACTATTTAGAAGTATTCACTAAAATGGGTACTAAGCATGTTTTCTGGAAATCAGTTGCTAACATTGGCTTGACCCAATTCAATAAGGTGAGCATTAAACCCATCTAAAATAGAGTCAACTGATAGAATAAAAAGAATTCACGATATACTTGAATGTGCAAAAGCAAGCAGGAAGAAAAGGAGGGTAAAGGGGTGGAGACATACAAGCCTCTGCTGTAGAAATCATCTACAGGATGTAATTTAACATAGTGGAAATGCATCTAATATAAGCAAGAACTAGGGCCAAACCTGACTCCACCCACTTACTAGCAGTAGAAACTGGGTCAGAATGCTTAACTCTGAGAACCTTCTTTCAAATTTGTAAAATAAGGACAGTCATATACTTTCTTCATAAAGTTTGGTGATAAATTATGTCAGTCTCTACATCCAAATTCCAGTTTCTATCACATGTTGCCTGCCTATTTGGCCAAGTGCTGACAGTTATCTCATTTTAAGCACTCATCCTTTCTTTCAGTTTTTCAAGGATAAAGCCCTGAAGAAATATCTACAAGAGTAGTTAACGTATGGCTAAAACTATCATGGGAAATTTAAAAAGATGGATTAAAAAGTGCAACTGGGACCTTTTGTAAATGAGAGGCAGCCTATTGGTAAAAATATGTTTTTTTCTTCAATTGTACAGGAAAAATAGTATAAAAGCTCTGTTTAAAAATTACAGCAAAGCATCTTTTGGAGGAGGGAGAAGATGTTCTTCCTTTCATACAGAGTAAAGTGCAGAAAATGCTTTGTTCTTTGTAAACTTACTTGAACATAAGTTCTATGGGAAGAGAGATCTTTGTTTCATTCATTACTGATAGTGCATATAAAAGGCAATTAAGAAATAGATTTGAATGAATACAGCATACACAGATTGGCACAAGGGTGGTGGTCCATCTGCCTCTGCAGATGACCATACACAATTTTAAAAAAAGAGATAAATAATAAGCCAGAATTTTATTAGCACCTAGATAAAATGCAACACAACTATTTCTATACTTCCTAAACTTCCACAATTCTGTTGAAGAACTCAAAGTCCATATGCAGTATATATATTAGCATATGCATAAATATGAAATAACTAATATTTTTTGAACCAGGAAAATATGATTTCCTGAAGTGAATAGACCCTGCATGATAGAGAAGGAAAAAAAAGCTGAAAGTTTGGGGGAAAATGTTCTATTCCTCTGCTTAAAAGTCAAGCTCTAAACTTTGATTTTGTTTATTTTTTAAAAAAACTATTTATATAGAAAATTACATTTAAATTATTTGTTATGTAGATGTTAGGATAATATACAAAGAGCTAATAAACAGCATAACTTAGTTATAATAATATATTAAATACCAAACTGAACAAATGTTTTAGAATTCTTAATATGAAAACACAGTAGATTTGGACTATAAACCACAGACTGATGTAGGTATCTATAGATCTTGTCCTCAGACTAATTATAAAGTAGTTCAAAGTTTGCCAAAGTAAATAGCACAGCCTACATACTTCTTTGCCAACTCTCTCATAAAGCAGATGGAACCAACCATCGAAAGAACCATGAAAAAGAATTTTTTAATGAATCCATTTCTTTCTGAAGTTGTATGAGAGGAAGGTCACTTTCTCACTTACTAGCTTACCTTTTGATGTCCTTATCAATTTTTAATTGTACATATTTTTATGTATTATGCTATATTTATGCATTCTTCAATGGCATCTTTATTTATGACTTTGTGAATCAACACCTTTGTGATAGGAGGCAAAAGTCACTTAGCTAATTACACATGCTTGATAAGCTGCATAATAATAACCACTGCAGTACTGTACATTAGTTGAAAGCATATAAATTACTGCAGTTATTCTCATTTGGGAAAAAACAAGAGACTTTTTTAGTTATCTAAAACATCTTTGTTGCCTCCATATCCACCTTCTTAATTATACTATTCTTTTAACCCAAATCATGACATTAATAATAAAATAAAGGTTAAATTCCATTCTATCAGTCTGACCAAAGAAATAAGAACAAAAACAAAACAAAATTCAATTTAATGCAAATACTTCTGATCTGCAATTGAGGATTTGGTGATATGAATCTTCTTCCACATAATGCAATCCCAGTGAAAAAAAAACAGTTTAGACGTTCCCCACCCCACAAGAATGTTGTAATGAAATCTGACTTGGTCCAGCCAGGAGATTAGAAATGCATAGAGAGAGAGAGAATGTACAGAACTGGAATATTAATATGATTTCTGTATGAAGATTGAAAATTCTACAAAGTTATAATAAGGTCAAAATAACACAGATAATTTACCGCCAGAGAAAATCATACTCTCCTATGAGTGATTTACTAGATGTTCTATAAAAATGGAGTGTGGACAAGCTACATTCAGATGCAAGCTTGCAGCTGTCAGTGTCTACATTTGCTCAATCTGGCTAGAGGATGCTTTGAAGGTTGATTTAATTGTAGCTTCTGAATCATGTTCTTCCCTATGTTTTAAATTGTTTAACATAAATATAAAAATGTTAAAGCAATTTTAAGACTGTAAATATTTAGTATAAAAAGCTGCAAAATCTCATTTTTTTCTGGAAGAGTGACTGAAAACAGAAAGACTGGGAAAAAATACCATTACTTAATAATGGTAATTGCCCAACAGTTATGGAAAATTTACCCTTACATGAGAAAGTTCATAGGGTGTTCAGAAGGAACTAAGGATAAACAAACAAAAAACTAGGTTTGTGACTGAACTGATCAATTTTAAGAGAAACAGGATTCTATTTTCTGTAGAAAGGGTTCAGAAATCAAAGCTGAACAGCTGGGAAGGCAGCATCTTTGGGTTCCCTGCAGGCAATGTAATAACCTAAGTATCTTTTTCTCTATACACAAACTCAAAGCAGAGATTCAACTCCTGTCCATGCCACCAGCGCCAGCACACAGGGCACCACCAATGAGCTTTGTCAATGTCATCTACTCAGCTACAGCTCTCCTCAACCATCTTTCTATTCTTTGACAGCCTTCAATAAATTCCAAATATCGCCTAACCATTCACTTCCCAGCATCAGCAAATCATCCTTAGGGAGAATATCTTGTTCTTCCTCTTCAAGCTGTTTCCCCCATTTTTTATTTTCACTTTTATACATACCTCCTTTTCTACATATTTTCTTGCCGGGTTTTCTGGCACATTCCTTGGATATTCTTTTTACTGAAAAATGAATAGAAGACTAGAAAATAACATGGCGCTCCATCACAGACCGCCGGAACATGCAACACCACTATCTAACTTAACACGCTCCTGCATTTACTGAGTGCGAAAGATCCCCAATTCGGTGAGCCTGCACATGCAATGGAGAAATGTTGATGCATCTTCTCAGAAGTCATTCGGTAGGAAATGGAAATTAGGAACCCATTTCTACCTAAATATACGTGCTGCAGAGGAAAGAAAATGAGTAGGCACAGGAAAAAAATAAGAACGCCAACACACATAAACAAAAAGAGCTGCATGCACACATGTAAAATATGTCTACATGCCGACAGGAAAAGCCATGCATGCTACCAGTACACATGAATTAATATTGTTAGAATAGAAAAATATAAATATATCTCCCTGTTTTTCCTGTAGTAAACTCACCATCCTCAGTTGGGACGTATACATTTAAATACAGGCAATCTTCACTCTGGTCTTGTACGTATGATGAAACCACATCCAAGTTATTAGTAAACCACACAGGAAGCATGACTTCTGGCAATCTGCCATCAATGATATTCTGGGGACACACAGGAGCAAACTGAGTAGCATTCCTGACATCTGACCAAGGAGATGGTGGTTCTGGAGGCTGAAAACGATGTTCTCCTGTTGGCGGGGCTGCATATGGAATGCCAAGAAACTGAATAACTGGACCCAAAATTTCATTATTGAGTTCTTTCTTAATCCCTCTTATCTTGCCGAAGTTGGTAGTCACCAGTGGGTCTCCATCATCCAATTTTTGTGAGAGCACGTGAGCAGCCTGAAGCAAACAGCCCAACACACAAAGAGTCAATGAGGCACCCAATCCCCTGTGTACCAAGCATGCCATTACTGCTCTCCAAACATAAGCTGGCCACACGCATCTGGGCAGTGCCATGGTCCCACATCAGTTGTGTAGTTGTCTGGTTGCAGTGAGGCAAAGGTGTTTGTATCCACTTGAGAAAAACCGTATAACGGTAGAATACACCTCAGATTTCTCAAAGGCGAGCTTGTCAAGAAAAGCTCAGAAAGCTCTTCATGCAGCCAGTATCTCCCATTGATTTCACATGTATTGAAGTAGCATCTTCAATCATCGCTATTTATCAGACCATATCCTACTGACCATTCTGTTTTCCATAGTAGCAACATAGTGAGAGTGGCCATTGACTGTACATTTCCCTCTTATAAATCAAATCCAGTTAGCTGCAGGTCTATATCCTAGAGAAAATGAAAATAAATCATTAGTACAAACAAGCTAAAATAGACAGAGTGATAACTAGATGTTTTACAAGCTACAGAAATACTTTTATAGTGGCTGGACTCAGGTGAGTTAAATACTACCATAGGAAAATTATGGTTTGATGTGAGATGACAGATGAAATCACCGATAATTAGAATATTGAGAAACTTGCCTCCTGGCTTTATACACACTTAATAGAAAGCAGCCCTTGTTAAAATATACAGTTTCAGGAGCATTTCACAATATAGTTTTCTTAAAATACTGAAGGTTATGTGTGAAGTTTTCCCTTTATTGAAAGTCTTCAATCACTTTAAGGGACCACAGTATTAATCACCAAACATACTAAAAATTAGAATTCAGTAGCAGAAAAACTTTTTTAAAATATTGGTAGCGGGCTTCCCTGGTGGCGCAGTGGTTGAGAGTCTGCCTGCCAATGCAGGGGACACGGGTTCGTGCCCCGGTACGGAAGGATCCCACATGCCACGGAGCGGTTGGGCCCACGTGAGCCATGGCCGCTGAGCCTGCGCGTCCGGAGCCTGTGCTCCGCAACGGGAGAGGCAAAAACAGAAAAAACCCCCCAAACAAAAAAAAAAAAAAAAAAATATATATATATATATATATAGGTAGGGAATTAGTGGAATATAAACAAACTTTTTAAGAATGACTATATATATTAATCAAACAAACAAATAAAAGGATGGTTCCCCAATCCTGTGCTATATAGAAAAAACAAAGATTATGCTAGAACAAGAAAACCAATATGAGCTCAACTATGATCATTTAAGTGCAACTACCTTATAAGGTCATTCACCTTAAATTAAGATTCAAGAATTTAAAAGACAAAATGCCTTTAGACACAACTTGAAAAAGAGACAGAAGTTGGCATCATTTTTTGCAGACTTTTTTTTTTTACCATCTAGCTAGCTATATATTTTAGATATCAGTAAATCTGCAACAGGAAAATTAACTTCTGAGTCAGTCAATATATTTTAAATTACAAATGTTCTCACTACCTGTTAAAGGTCAAAGGAACAATACGAAAAGAAGAGTGCGGCAGTTTCAAAGAGCAACCATACCTAATCATAGCGTTGCATACTAACATTAATCAAACATCTAACACTCTTTACCCAGTCCAACTTAGGATGCATCAGAATAAAATGTAACGTTCAGTGCAATGCAATTCACAGCGCAATCTTGCGTTAACTGCAAAATAGCACACAACTGGACAAATTTGTCTTTTCTTGTTCAAGCAATGTTTTAAAGTGCTTAGTTTGAAAAAAACAGTGTTGATTTGTACTATAGATGGTTCTATCCTGTCATATTATGGGGAAGATTCCTGAAGAAGTGCTGGTCTGGCAGTGAGGCTGTCCTCACTTTATATTATTGAAAAGGAGATTGCAAGAACTATATAGGGCAGCAGGAGATTTGGTTCAAGCCTGGTGTTCCTTTAGCTCTGAACAATTCATCACAGATGGCAATAAGAAGATAAATGCCTTTCTTCAAGAATACTTGTCTGTGTTAATGCTCATACCTTTGTTGTGAAAGCACATTAACATACAAAAGACAGGCTTAGACCCATCCCATTTCTGTGCCAGAACTCTAGCATGTATTGAAGATTTAGCTACACAAACCCACTTCTGTTAAGAGTACATAATGCTCATTCTTGCACAGAATCGTGGTGGGCCACAGCATGACTCAGTCTTTCCTACTCACCTTTTGGTGTTCAAGAGCAGCATTTTGACACCTAAAATAGAGAACCTGTGGTGAGGACTTAAAAATTTCCATCACCATATTTTATTCAGCTTAATTTTCAAATACAGTGATTTCTAAAAATTCTTCTTTACATACTTGGTATCTCACCCAGAATAAAAGTACTTGATTCGCATATGGACACCAAGGGGGTAAAGTGGGGTGGGGTGGTGGTGGTGGGATCAATTGGGAGATTGGGATTGACATATATACACTAATATGTATAAAACAGATGACTAATAAGAACGTGCTGTATAAAAAATAAATAAAATAACATTTAAAAATTTTAAAAAAGTACTTGTTTGGTTACTAACAAAGTAACGCTCATTTTTGTACTCACAAATCCTTAACTGTGTTAAAAATAAAAGGGCTGCTGTTTCCCACTTTAATGTGCTACTTTAACACAAACTGTGGAGGATGAGAATTCTGCATTCCATGGTAAATTTTCAAATTCTAATGGTTAGCTTTTAAGGTTACATAAATATCCCATTATACATGGGCTTACCTGTATAATTACAGTATCGACCCCAAATATTTTTCAGAGGTCACTGTTATAATAATAACAGTTGCCCAAGTTTAATGTAAAAATATGGCTTGTTTAAATAACTGAAAATTTACATATATACGTGTATATATATGCCTAAATATAAAGACTCTCAAATTTGTTGGCAGGGTTTTTTTTTTTTCCTATTTATTGGTGCTTCATTAGTACAGTATATGCCAAACCCTTAGTTTTTAGGCATTTACATCTCATTTACAACAACTCTAAAAACTAGCTTCAACAGTTATCTCCTTTTTACTTACAAGGAACTGAGACTTAGAGGTTAAGTGTCTTGGCCCAGGTCTCTCAGCTAAACAATAGCAGATCCAGGAGCCCACTGGCATCTAATTTAAAGGCCATCCCCTTGATCATTACACATGATACAGTCTCTCACTTCACAATTAACACTTTTTAAAAAACTGATCCTAGTGCATTTAAAATTGAATTGTAAAAGTGTTTTATGTTCCTTCAGAAGACAGAATGGCAGTAAATACTCTGACAATTTCATAGAAACAGAAATTTAAATGGTCTACCTTGTTCTTACTGGCACTTTAGATTTTGTTACCTTTTTTACCTTTTTTTACTTTACATTGAATGCAGCGATTGGGTATCTATATGTGTTTACGCAAGATCATGTTAAAATAATGAGTAACCCCAAAAAGCCCAACTTCATAATAGGATAAATGTCCATTAACAGATATTGATAAATGAATTATGATATATTCACAAATTAGAATTCTATACTTCAGAGCAAATAAAGAACCTAGACCTAAATATATCAGCAAGAATAAATCTCAATATTTTTGAAAAAGATTAGATACAGTAAAATGCTATTTAAATAAAGCTTAAAATATGAAAAACAAAACTATATATTATTCACAGATGCATAAATATGTAATAACAGAATATTTGCTATCCATGGGTAGGGAGAAAAGGGTATGAAATTAGTTCTAGCAATTAATGTTATTAATTGATTAATCGGAACTCTGAATGATAATCTGGGATGAGGCCTTAAAAGACCACAATTAACTACAGCAAGTTTTACAAATCTAAGATTTGATGGTGTTGGGTGACACACGCAAACACACACAAGCACACACATCTTTGTTATGGAATTCTCTGTATTTTTCTGTATGTTTGAAATATTTTATAATAAATACATTAAAATAATGAGGTCAGAAAAGCCTTATTCAGTAGTCCAGGCAAGTAGATGAGCTTATCAATCCACACAGGACTAGCTTTCTCTGACTTTGCAGTAGGTGGAGATACTAGCTCACAAATTCTTCCATTATTCTTCCCTTTGGGTTAAAGCATGTGCAATCCCACTGAGATAAATAAAACAAAAATAAATAACATTTAAAAAAACATAATAAATGGGAATATATTACCTCCTTGCATTAATTTATCATAACACCTGGTCCATCAACTAGTTTGTTCCTGAGTGACCCAGATCAAAGAGATGATGCTGGAGAGAGTAGAGAGAAATTTCTAGGACATTTAAATAATCACAGTGGGTGGCCACATGCATCCAATTTTTCCTTCACTCAACAAACATTTATTGGATATCTATAACGTATAAGCTATTGTGCTAAATCCTATGAGAATTTAAAGATAAGTACAATCTAGTCAGTATTCCCAAGCAGCTACAATATTGTAAAGATCTGAATTGACTACACGCTTATCACCAGAGCTGCATGGAGCTTGGCCAATGCTACACAACTGATGGTTGTTATTTACCATAGTTATGTTCTATAAAGTCACTGCAAACACTGAATTAGGGAATATGAATCCATTGCTCCGAGGGAAATGCATGTGTATACATACATGCATGTGTGCATGTGTATGTGCATATACACACAAACATATATTATATATACATATTTCACATAGTTACAAATTATCATCTTAAACCCTTAAAACAATTCATCCTAGTAGAGTCTATTTTCTTTATGTTACAAAACAGAAAACAAAGTTCAGAAGTGTTTAGTGACTTGTCTGAGGCCACCTCACTGATAGATGCCAGAATTGGGATTCAAATCCCCTCCACCGGGCCCCAGAGCTGGAGCTTCTTTCACTATACTGCATCCTCTACCATCTCCATCCTCTGTTCATCTCTGCGTGAGAGCTGAAACCAGAAGTCACATCATCACCTTGCTCAACCTCAGCAGGAAGCACGCTCATGGGGTGACTCACATTTTTTGTTGCTTTGCTCATGTCTGTGAATGACTGCAAAAGCACCATGAGTATTGACTTTGGGGCTATGAATAAATTTTAGTGAACATGCAAATTTGCAATCCAGATCCAGAAATAAATGACTGACTGTATTAACTAAAGATAAATAATGTTTCATACCTATGAATCTATAAGTTGTTTTGAAGTCAGAACACAGCCTGGCAACAGCACTTAGTAATAATAATGGGATTTAAGAGTTGGATTTAGTAATAATAATTTAATAATAATTGCATTTAGTAATAACTGGATTCAGTGGAGTGTGGCAGTTTACAATGGCCAATCCTGGCCATGTAACTGAAATGTGGTTATGGGAACGGCTCACTGTAAGAGAACCTGACCACCAGCAGACCGTGGGCTTCCTATACCAAGATGTTTCACATGCACACTGTTGCTGGTTCAGGATCTGGAGACAAGGGGTATCCCGTGGGACCCAGGAACGGGAGAACGAAGAAGCCT